GGCTATTACTCAGGACGACCTTGTTCTGAGTAATTAATCGGCGAAAGAGTGATGGTTGTAATTGATGTCTCCCACAATATTTATGTACATAAACACAAATATTTATAAATCGAAGATCGACCACCCAGCACCCCAAGATGTATGTTTTAACATAATATTTATTACCCTCCGCATCTTATACGCAACATCCATCAGGATTTAAACTGCTAATAAGCATAAAATTAAACAACTTAATTTCGAAATAAAATTACTAAACGATTGTCAATAATCTACTTGTTTGCGTATTATAAAACATGAATGGGCATTCTAGTGTATTGAAATAAGGAGAAATTGCATCAAAATTTTAATAAACATTAGTTCGCCATATTTGAGTATAATTTTAAATTTATGAATACAGATTTATTGGGGCGGAATAAAGTTATTCACTTTATACATAATAAAGATTCTGATTAACTGATAAAAAAGTAAACGTAACTTTTAACTTTAAATCTTAAGCTCACTAATCTTTCAGTGCATATTAAAAGGGATGTTAGCAAAATTTTAGACATAATTGCCTCTTCTTACAAGACTGCTACAATTTTTAATGGACTTGAAAATGGCGAGCTTATGTCATTGAGATAACGTATCTTCTACGGGCGGCCGCTACTGCTACCTATTGTTGTCCGTTGATACAGATTTGATAATTAGGTGGGTACGCAATCTGTAGAGATTAATGAACAAAGCGAGCACTACGTAACGACCACCCATGGGGAGGAGACGGCTTAATAAGAGCCTCATTAACACCTTAATGGTTATTCTCAATTCGCCTGATTCCTCTTCCACTTTTCTTTATTTATTTTGCCCGTCCCGGTTTCGTCGCGTTTAATTGAATCTCTGGTCTCCTTTTTCTAAACTTATTCTCTTTGACTTAAGATTAGTGATGTATATTTAAATCGGGCGTTTTGTTACGTTTTCACCGTCGGCCTGCTGGGTGCGTTCCCTGCTTCCTTATCGGACTTTTAATTCAGTTCGTGATACTAAGAGTTTTGTGCATGATTGCATTAGCGTTTTGGGGGCAGTTTTTTTTTACGTCGTAGGTATTTAAGGGGTGCTATGCAGTTTCGTTTTTCTCTTGTGTCTCGCGCTCTCATTAATTTCGGATGTCACCGTCATATGTCTATCAGTCGGTGGTAAAGCGAGGGGAAGGGTTCATAAGATTTCCGTTCGCAATAAACCGAGAGGAGCATAATACGTGAGCAGCGGCCGCTGCACATGTTACAGTTTCCACTGACGAAAGATTTTATTGCCACACTTCACGATTTGCCGGCGGTATCTTAAATGAAGATTAAACTGTTTGTCATTTTACTCGTTGCCAACATAAAGAGCTTTGTATTTTCGTATGCCTGACTTATTTTAACGACAAAATGTTTTCTTTTGATATTGTTTTTATTTTGTTTCAATCCAAAACTCGAAGTATTTTAATTGTATTTAGCATTGTTAAATGATTTTAACAAAATTTAATGTGTTTGATGAGTTTTATGTAATTTTTTTTTTTAATTTTAAATTTATTGGCCTTTAATTATATTATTTATCTACTTTATTTCAAGCCTTTTTTTTCGTAAAACAACATACATTTTTCTTGTAAAAAGTGAAATATATTATAGAAAAATAGTAAATTGGTCTGCTTCTATGAAACCACTTGGTGCAAGAAACTTTTAAATTCGTTTATAGTATTTTTGTTTCAATATTTTCCATATAATCTTCCTTCTTCTTTATTCGCGTTCTTTGTTTCGGTAACTTTATAGTATTTTCATATATTATATCTGGTAGCATGTTTAAATTATCTCCCAGCTTATTCACTTGCTGCTGATGGTTTGATTCATTCACCAGTTTATAGATGGCATTACTAGTCTTGTAATTCTGTAATTCTATTTGTTAAATTGTTTATTAGCGAATGATTCGGATATTTTTGTAAGTTTTGATTGTTATAAATAGCATAAAGGGTTAAAGTCATAAATAAAACTAGTTTTTACGGGTTAATGCACGAAACTTTATTTATTTATTGACGTTTCGTAGCCTTTACAGGCTACGTCGTCAGAATCAAACTTTTATTGGTCATATAGTATAAGTCATAAGTTTAACCCTTTATGTATATTCATTCAGCACTCGCTCAAAATTACAAACACTATTCAATTCGTGTTTAGTTATTTTAAAAGTTATAAAAGAGATATTGATGGCTAGGTACCTGTACTTAGTCGATGTTGCTCTGGCTTATAAATACTGAAAAAAAAATCCTTCCTCGGCTAAGAATCGAACCCCGGGCCGCCCGGATGAATCACCGATGCTTTATATTAAGGTTTGAATTTTTACAAAAATGTAAGGGACATACTAAAGATGAATAAAAAAATTGTGGCAATGTTATAAGTTACACTTTCAATTTTTTTTCGTAATACATACATACTAATTTTATTATGAGGAGTTCGATGGTTTAAGTGGTCAGCGCGTTCGACTGCGATCGTTGAAACTTAGCAACTTTAGCAGTGGTCGGTCATTGGATGGGTGACCAAAAATTTACTATCTCGAGCTCCTCCGTGCTTAGGAAGGCACGTTAAGCAGTTGGTCCCGGCTGCATTTGACGTCGTTAGCAACCGCCATTCCGCACTGGGCCCGCGTGGTGGCTCGAGGCCCAATCTGGAATCATGGATCAATCAATCTATGGAATAGGGTCCATCTATAGGGAAGGCCTGTGACCTAACAGTGGGGACATTAATAGGCTGATGATGATGAATTTTATTAGCAGGTTCATTCAAAACTGATCGACTCATTTCTCGTAGATAATTGATTTAACCACGTTTTGTTGCACAGTTTATAACAATTACTCATTAAAATTTATGTTATAAGTAGATTGTCTTTTTATTAACGCGTGCCAATAACTCTATTGTTAATAGAATAAAACAGTTATTCATAACGAATGACGATGCCGTTATTGCATTCTTTCGAAATCAAATCAACATATTGCAATCTTATTTCAGTATGTATTTATTTGAACATTGACGCGTGAATGTTTTAGTGGGTACGTTATCACATAATATCTTTATCATTTTGTATATCTTTATCTACAATCTAATTGAAGTCACGTTATTTATTACTGTATTTTTCATCATGCAAACCTACATTATCAAGTTTTTTTAACAACATTGTCATCCTTATGTAGTGTTTGTGTTAAATAAATTAGGTTAAATGATTGCATATTTCCACAGGTTTTAATCGTCATAATCTTAAAACTTACAGAAATGTAACGTAGATTTGTTTAAATTACCGATTCTAGAGCTATGCAAGCGCGCTTACACAAATAAATCCTTTTTTATTGATTATCAAAAGCGCACAATAGATAAAAGATGGCGCTGGTTGTATTGTTAGTAAGTCGCAACTCAACAGACGGCGCCACCGGAGTCGGCCGTGTACAAAAATGGCAGTTGAATATTTTCCCCTGCAAAGATCGACATGGGGGGAAAGCTGAAACATGCCTTCGCTCGCTATGATAAGGGGCAATTTCCATCACCCCACAGGGAAGACTTACATAGTCAGAAACGAGCACGAGTGTATTTGTGGTGGAGCGTCGTCATTGTTCGCTAAATTGTCGCTTGCACGGAACCGGCCAGCCTTGTCGTGAGTTAGGTACGAGTACAGGGCACACAATGACAGTGTACATACATTTAAACACCTGTTATTAAGCATGCACAGGGTCACAGAGCGTAGGTACTACAAAGCTCGTTAAATACAATGACAGATAGAGATCTCACTGCCGGCGATTTAGGATGCATCCACAATTAACTACGCGAAATGCTACATGATATTATAATTACGATGAGTTGAGTGAACTCGCTCGCCATCGCCGCACAAAAACTTATGGTAGGTACGGTTTACTGTGTTTGCTTATCGCGCTCGCTATCTGCAAATTAAGGCATCTTCGAGAAATCATAACATAGGTATATGAGCGGTCGAGGAATTTCTCAAAACAAAGAGTGCAAAATATCAGCGTGTATGATCTGATCAGGCACACTGTGAAACATTCACTGTGAAAATTTCAGCACTTGATTCAAAATAAAGGTGAAGAAATCCATTTAACGAAAAAGGATCCTTTCTCGTTTCATAGGACTTACAGGATTTAACGGATTTCACATGAGCTTTGCTGCTTAAATCGTTCATATCCAATGAAATTCTTGAATGTGAGTAGAATGCAATGGTTAAGCTCAATATTGTTGAGCTTGCTGCTGCGTAGGAATTACAATGGCGCATACCACGTCCGCTCATTTACGTCTACTATGACCAGACAAGGTGTTAAATCGAGCCACGCCACCGCTCTGTGCGCAACCGCAAATTGTGTATTTACGTAATTTATGTGAACAATTTGAGCTGTCATAATTTAAAAACCGCTTCGGTGTGTGTGAGATGTGAAATTTTTGTGTCATTCGAAACGACGGACGTAAAGATATCTACCTACCTACAGGGCCGAACGGAGATAAAGTGTAATTGCCATAATAATAGCGGTAGCTTTTGGAGTTTATTTCTCGAGTTTAAATATTAATGTTTCGTGACAGGGCGGCGGGCGGCTGGCGGGCTGCGAGGTGTCGGTGGTTTTCTGGCCCAGCGCGCCCGGACCGGTTCGCGCGTCCCTCGCGCTCGCACGTTGCGCCAGAAAAGCCAAACTCGTATCCGAGTAGAGAGCGATAAACTTGCCTCGTATACGGCGACCGAGCTATTGGTACCAATTTGCACTCTTGTGCTTTCTGTTTTTGGATAAACCAAGGAGCCCTTGTCAACGGCGTCGTGACACCAGACACAGAATGAGCAAGAATCTATTTAGAATTATTTAACTTATCTTGCTGCCTAATTATGGCCCTTAGAATTGCGAAACAAAATTCACCTAGTATTTGGGTAATAAATGTAGACAATACAACTATCTTATCAAATCTTTACTGAAAAATGAAAGGAAAGGGTTTTTGTTTCAGCACACTTACCAATGGCGAGTAAAACGCTGAGCTGTCAACACCGATGCTCGGGTATGGGTTCTGATCGGTGGAGGGGTACGGCGCGCCGTATACTCCCACCGCCGCACTGGACAGCCTCGGGTAGGAGGTGAGGGCGAGCCTGGCGCCGTCGTACTGGCACGAGCAGACCGTCTGCCCGGAGACAGGGTCTGTGATGATGGGGCGCGGCGTGTCGCAGCAGGAGGCGGCCGGCGTGCTGGCGTGGCTGTTGCCGCCGGGCGAGAGAGCTCCGCCTGCGACGCCGGACCCGCCGGGCGAGAGCGGCGGCGCCGAACTCGACCCGCCGTCCGGCGAGGTGGCTGCGCCGCCGGTGCCCGCCCCGCTGTTGCCCACGAGCAACTGTAATGCAATACTACCATCAACATTCCGATAAGTTATAAAAGCTAGTTAACAGTTTAAAGGCGTCTAGGATTTTCTCCTTGAAATTTACGTCCTCCTGCTGCAATGCAATACAAGCATTGAGATTCCAATAAACAGTTTGATAAGGATGAAGGACGTAACAGGTATTCTGTTTAAATTTTAACTCCCTTCTCGAAAAGGTGCCCGAACCGCTGTTGCTCACGAGCAACTGTAAAGCAATACTACTACAATCAATATCCAATAAGAGCGACAAACTTTTAAAGGGATGTAGTATTCAATGATTTTTCTGCTTGAATTTTAGCGAACTCCTCGGAAAGTATCATATACTTCATAATAATCTGTAGTGCCGTGTTTATGGAGTTTTTTTAATATATTTCCTCTGAAATGCAATACATCAACATTTCGATAAGCCAAAAGAGCTATAATCAGTTATATAGGATGTAGGACGCAGCGGTTTTTCTGTCTGAATCTTAGCACCGTTCTGGGAAAGTATCCTATGTTTTATAGTAGACATAATAATAAGTAGTGGACAGTAATAGTTATACTAAATATGATATATTTGCAGCCTTAGGACTTAAGACTAAGTACTTCTAATCTTTTCTATCGTTGATTTATGAGAAGTTTTTTTTTATATTTTGTTAATGCAACATCTACCTATTGATTGCAGAAACTAATTTTACAAAGTCACGCGAGTGTTCACAATGATCGTATTTCTAAATCCTAACGGGTATAAAATACCAAACAGGGAATGAATTCTTTTCAAATAAGTATCTTTTTAATGCAGTCAGTAAGGGAATTTTTATATTATGTATTAATTCAATATATTATAATACTATCATCTATATCAATACTCTAAGCAACAAGAATCAAAAAGCCAAACTTAAAGTTTTATCAATTGATATTTTATATTATCGATGTGAGATTTACAATTTATTCGAAGATTTTTTTGCTTTAGTCACTAATAAATCAATTGGTTATTATTAACAAAAAACTATAGGTATTAAAATTATTAAACATCTGCCAAAAGGTCAAAAAACTACATATTGCTTGGACTCTTTAGATTAGTATATTTTGTAAATTGACGTCGTCCGTGCTTTGGCAGTCACAATAAGTTGTTGTTCTTGGCTGCATCTGCAGTTGTTATTACCCATTAATCCCGTAGATGGCGACACCACGTATGTCATGGTCCAATCTTCCTATTCCATTTATAGTGAAGTTATGTGCCTCAGCAGAGCAGACATCACTAGGCTGATGATGATGATGATATTTATCATAATTACTATACTTTAAGAACTGAATTTTATATTTCTTTAATATCCTGTTATCTTTTTTAAAATGTATGTAATTTGGTGATTTTGAAGAGTATAAAGACGTAAAATAATAATAGCAAAGACTAATTCTAAAATTGTTTTATTTTTTATAATGCAATACTATGTAAATGGTTCTATTGAAAGAATAACTAACACACCGAACCGTGGTATGGTACCTCGTGCGTTTTTATCTTTAAACGAATGCAAATGAATTCAGTTTCTAGGGCAGCGGCAAGATAACACGGGCCATTCTTAATCTAAACATCAGTGACGTGCAAATCGTGCCGAAGCCGGAGTATATTCGTGGAAGTTATTAGTATAAACATAATACTTAGGAATCAAGAACTAATTTAATGAAAATCACAAGCATTCAGATTTAACGACCAATAAACGTTGATGATGTAAATCGTATAATTATTGTTGTTGAATGCGAGAAACACTTGAAATCAGTATTAAAATTTCAAATGACTTTAGTGAAGGGGCAAAAGTAAAATACATTAGTAAGTAACTAGCAAACCAGTGAACCAAATGCTCACCAAAACCTGATTTAAAAAAAAAGGGAGATTTTGTGTGGTTTTGAAATTCGTGATTTCTCGAAAACCGGAAGTGTTACGTTACTCAAATCCGGTTTGTAGTCTTATCAGACTATTCTTAACTTATAACTTAAATATTCTCTTTATCTATCTCTTACGGTTTGGCCGCTGAATCAGCACCACAGACAGACAGACGGACGGACTTGTCTAATAGATAAGAGATAAATTGAATACAATAGCAAGTGTAACTAATGTAAATAATGTTCTTAATAAAGATAATATAGAAATGAAATAATACTTATAATCAGAATAAAATGAAATGTTCATTGTTCCCCAATAAAATAAAAATAATCCTAAGACGATCTCATAAAAGCAAGGTAGGTAATCAAAGTAAAAGTTTATAGGAAATACCTCAAACAGACCACTCGATATAACAAACATCAGATATTTATCTAATAAATATAGACGTAGTCTGTCGGTAAAAGATTAAAAGGTCTGGGAAAGGACATCTACAGATTTGGTCAAACACAGGGCGAGTTGACTTAGAAATAATAGCATAAGTTACTGTGCACACAGCGACCCCACTTGAAGATCTAATGCTTCAATGGAGAGCACCAACTTGTTTTCTTTAAACAGAGTGAAAAGTCTTCGAGCTTTCTATGTTGTGCTTTTGTGCGTCGGCTTTTATTAATTGGGGGAATTTTATTTAAATTTTAACGAAACACAAGTGACTAAGGCAAATTATAAGGTGATAGGATGACTATGAATGTGAAATTCTAGCACCTGCTGATGTATAAGATAATCTGACAGAAGCCATTTGCCCTGCATAAGGAGATGATATTTGATATATTAATAATTGATTTTCTGCCCATGAAGATTTCATGTTTGTTGATTTTGTGTTTTTTGTTACAATAAAATGTGTAGTTCGGGCGTTATATTTTCTCGACATTTCAATTATCCTACTGTTTCACCTCACATTATCAAATGAGCGTATCCATGATTATCTTGTTATATTTATAGATACATCCTACTTACCGCACTGGTATAGTATCATCTCAAAGTACTTCATTCCAAGCGTCCTTTAACGTTTATAGAATGTCAACTTTCACCCGTGTACTTAAGTCCCAAATCGGCTCGCATAGTTATGACGCTACCTTCTTTGTTCACAAGATAAAGTGGAGGACCAATGATGGTCAAATTAGGCGCATAGATTGCCTTTGTTTTTTAAGTAAGCTTTTGAATGACAAATGCAGTAATAACTTATAGGAATGATGGTTGGCTGTCAACGTAATTACCGAACCTGTGCGAGTACATAAACGAATAAGGTAGTCACAATATTAATAATAATAGCGAAGAAATATCATAAGTTGACACGGAATCTCATTTATCGGGATTGGTAATAGGTAATCTAGTAGGTATACCTTGCTCAAGGATTCTGTATTGTTGTCAAATAATGTAAGTAAAAGGTAAAAAAATAATGTAAGTAATAATGTAAGTAAGTGTAAATAATACAAGGTGAGAAAGTATCAGCTTTCATCGACACCGTACAGACAAGTGTTTATCTGCTCTCAAAAAAGAAATAACCATCGAACAAATACTAATAGGTCGCTTTAAAAACCCTTTATATTATCGGGAACCAAGGAATTAAACTTTGAACTAGGACATTGACTTAACTGGAGTTCAATCCATTTACTTGCTTAATTACTATAAACGGACTCGTGTACACTTACTGAGCTGTTACTACTTTGGTGTTATGTAAAAGTGTTTACACCTTGTCAATGATAGCCTAATAAGATTAAACAAAATCCACACACACATACACACACTCGTAGCATAAAACATTACGCAACTCACCAGTCCCCAGTGTATTATTATCGGGTGTGTCTACATCATTTTATTGTACAAAGAGCTGATTATTAAAATTATCCGATAGAACTTATATCTCAGATAAATTATTAACCAATCAAAAAAGAAACGTCATCAACAACATCGAAACATAACATGATTGACAAATACAACAAATTGTTCATTTAGTCTACACTTTCTCTGTTTGATGATTTTGACCAAACGAAGTTTTTAGTCCACCCCACAATAACGTAGAAGATCAATAAGTTTTATCCACGTGTTTAAAAAAAACAGTCTCAGTAAACAGCCACGTAGTTGAAAATTTTTTTAGTAATTGCTGGATCGAAAACGAAAGAAATGGATTCCAACCCCCTTTTTAATAACGAAGACTACGCTTGGATTAGTTACTACGTGTTTTATCTCTGTTCATTGAATGATAAATGGCATTTGAGTAACATCAACAAAACACGGTGTAACTAGATTAAGCTTATTAATAAGGGGGACAAAAGTTTCAAATACGGTTTTGTTGAGTAATATCAAAATATTCAACGTTGTCATTGATACTCTGCCAATTTACATAGCGTCCAAGTATACGTAGGAGAAACCGACTCGCTCTTGGTTGGATTTGTTTTGTCTCTGATAATGAATTATTTTGTAGTCCAAATTTGATAATAATACATTATCATACCTAGGGTAAAACCGGGAGACTTGCCCAGGTGGGAATTTTCTTGTGATTGGCATCTCGCAGGTGACCAATGAATGAATTGATTTATTTTCGCTAAATTTAAACACAAATTTCAAAGTTGGTTTAAATCTCCCACCTGGGCAAGTCTCCAGGTTTTCCCCTGCTGTAAAAACAAAACACTGCACCGGATTGTAAGTACAATTTTATAACATACGTACTATCCAACCCTTTCTAACACATCCGAGTCTGATTAGCCACGTATTTCCCCTCGCATGCATTCCTATAATTAGTAAAAGCGTATAGATAAGTAAAGGTACCTATGGCCGATAGGTTGATATGCTCCGCCCTTGTCATTACAGGCTGCCATATACCGATATTAGGTACGAAACTGATTTTGATCGGCGTCCTACTGATAACATGGTACAGAGTACTTCCATTTTCTATTATCACCATCAGAATTATAAGACTTATTTCAAAGCGACGCAAAGGCCAAATCCGCTTGTCGAAATATGAACAAACACATTTTGTTTTATTACGCTTTCAGTATAGGCTAGGTATACATTAGTGATGTGATTGTCTTTGAGTGATATTATCGTATACATTTAT